TTCTACTACTACTACTACTACTACTACTACTACTACTACGACTACTACTACGACTACTACTACCACCACTCGTGAAACTACTACTACTACTGTTACGGCTAACTGGTAGCTACCAGCTACCTACTACTATTACTACTGCTACTACTACTACTACCACTACTACTACTGCTACTACTACTACGACTACTACGACTACTACTACTACTACTACCACTACCACCACTACTACTACTACTACTACTACTACTACTACTACTACTACTACTACTACTACTCCTACGATTACTATTACTACTACTACTACTACTACTACTTCTACTACTACTACTACTACTACTACTACTACTTCTACTTCTACTACTACTACTACTACTACTACTACTACTACTACTACTACTACGATTACGAGTGCTACTTCTACTAAATACTGACTACAAGCCATGAACTACTAACTACTACCTACAACCTACTATATACAAGCTACTGACTACTTACTACATACGACTAGCTACTAACAACAGACTGTTAATTACGTTGGGACCAGTAGTCACTACTAAATACCAACTACTACGTTCTATCTACGAACTCCTCACTACGAGCTACTAGCTACGAACTGCTACCAACTTGGCCACCACATGTAATTCAGTAATGTTACCAAGAAGGGTTCTTTCTCCGGGCAAAAGAGGCCAGACTGATGGGAAATCTCTGTGGCGCCTGAAGGGCAGCCCATTGCGATTTGCGAAAGTCAGTTTTGACAGAAGTGTGAGGATCCTCGACGAGGTCCCACCCGGAGAACTAACCCTTTCCGAAGGAGCCCCAGGACTTTACAAGCATTCGGCAGTACACCCGGAGAACGATCCCCAATCCCGGAGAACAAACCCTTTTCCCGGAGACAGAACCCCTCCCCTCCATCTCCCCCCGAGCCAAGCGCAAATGGATTATATGTGATGGCCGCGCACTTGGAATCAATTCGCATGTCTGAAAAATCATATCAATTGTCACCCAGACAATAGAAATCAATGTGTGTTGCCTCACCAAAGAACTTGACTTGAAGGCCACGCAATAGGAATCCATTCGTAAGTCTGTACAACGGACACTGTGCAAGAAGTCATGTCGTAATTGAGCGCATCACGCTCACATTTCGCTTAAGCAAAAAACAAGACAGGTAGATCACAGGAGAAGCTCTAACCATATACATATATATATATATATAGGTATGCGTATATACAGATGTATGAATTATATATATATATATACACAATAAAAACGCTCACCAGGAGGTGAACAAAAAACGCTCACCAGGGGGTCGGCACCCAGGAGCAGCCCCGGAGGCGTCCGCAGCGGCCCCGGGCGTCCAAAAGAAAAGCCTCCTCGGGTCTCGGTTCCGGGGCCTCCAGAGACATCTCCAGGGGGAGCCGGCGGCCCCCTCCGTGGACTGTTTCCTTCTGCTGATTCTCGTCCGCCTCCTCGTCCTCCTGCCTCCTCCTCGTCCTGATTCCTCCTCCTCCTCCTCCTCCGCCGCCTCCTCCTCCTCCTCAAACTCCTCCTCCTCCTCCTCCTCCTTCTCCTCCTCGTCCTGCCTCCTCCTCGTCCTCCTCCTCCTCCTCCTTGTCCTGCCTCCTCCTCCTCCTCCTCCTCCCCCTTTTCGTCCTCATCCTCCCTCTCCTCCTCCTCCCCCTCCTCCTCCTCCTCCTCCTCCTCCTCCTCTCCTCCTCCTCCTCCTCCTCCTCGTCCTGCCTCCTCCTCCCTCCTCCTGCCCCCTTTGGTCGTGCCCAGACGTACTACGCGAGAGGGCAAAAGGGTACAGTTGGGGCGTTGACCTGAAGAACGAAGAAGCGAGGCCCCTTTTATTCTTCCACAAGTCAGACAATCAGACTTCCCTTTGCGAGAGGAAAACAAGGGGAAACCCAGAAGGGTACAGTTTGGGCGGTGACCCAAGGATCGGTAAATAGGAAACGGGGCCCCTTGTTTCCACGAGTCAGACTTCGATTGGCGATCGGAAAACAAGGGAAAGCCCAGGGCAAGCTGTAAAACAACTGAGGAACACGGTGCCCCTCCCAAACGAGAAGGGTTCCTCCTCCAGCGCTCCGACTGTACAGTGGAGGCCCAACCACAAGAAACCTGCCACAAGAAAGCCAACCCTGAGACCCCAGGCCGTCCCCTGATGTCTGGTGTAGGAGCGTCGCGCGCTCTCCGCGGCAAAGCCATCGACGCCCAAGAAAACCAGGGCACCCTGGAGGCAAGCAGGGCGTTTCTTGGCATGGGCCTCCACTGCATGGTGATGGGGGAGGACAGGACCAAGACTAAGTAGGACAGTGGCGTGCCTCCGAAGGGGCAGGGCCCAAGGGAAAGGAGAGGTTTTGTTTGGCCGCGGGCTGGCGACAAACGCTCGAACTCCCTCTTTTGTGCTGCGAGCGCGCAGCGCGACGAGTGGGGACCGAGCGAGGGTCCGAACAGGCGAGCAGAGCGAAGGACCATGGAAGACACCACTGCGCAGGGGCAGCGACGGGGGGGAGGAGAAGAGGAGGAGAAGAGGGGGGATGAAGCAGATGAGAGGAGAAGAAGGAAGAGGAAGAAGAAGAGGAGAGGAGAGGAGAACAGGGAAGAGGAGATGAGAGGAGAGGGGGGAAGAGGAGAAGAAGAGGAGAAGAGGGAAGAGGAAGAGGAGAGAGGAGAGGATAATTACATTCCCCCCATCGTACTTACGGGCCACATCCCAGAAATAATTTCGAGCACCCGGAAAAGTTTCGAAGCAGTGTCGAAACAGTGTCGGACGAGCGTCTCCCAGGGCCCGACACGTGAACACCCTTGAGTTTCGGTATTTGCTGGTTCTCGTTTTTTTTCCTGGTGATCAGGGCTATAAAGTAGGTCGGAACATCATAAGAGGAGAAAAGGGAAGAGGACGCAGATGAGAGGAGAAGATGGCACGAGAGCGAAGGAGACTGCGGAACGGCAGGGTGGGGGGGAATAGGTCGAGGCCGCGTCCGCGCGCGGGTCGCGGAACGAGAGAGAGAGAGAGGGAGGAAGAGAAAGAGAACGGCAACGAGCTATCTATAAAGAGAGAGAGAGAGGAAGAGAGGGAAGGAGAAAGAGAGAGAGGGAGAGAGGGAGAGAGAGAGAGGGAAGGAGACAGAGAGCGCACCAGTTCGGACACCGGGTGTCCAGGCGCGCGGGCTGCCAGCGCCCGATGCGCCCGCCTCTCTGGCGCGAGCGGCAGCTTGGAAAGCACGGGGTCGGCGCGCGAACACCTCCCCCCTCCAGCGCGGCCTGCGCGGGACTGCGACTGGACAGCAGAGGGGGGCATCGCAATTTTCGGGGGTGGAGCTCTCAAGCTGCGCGCCCGGAGCTGGTGAAGGCCCCGGTGGAGCCCGTTTTGGCACGCGTGCCTCCAGATCCCTGCAACACAAGCGTGGCGGCGGGGCATCTCCCGCCGCAGCTCGAGACGTGATCCGTGGAACGTCTTGCCAGACGTTCTCACGGGACGCAGGGTAAGGAACTGTCGGTGATTGCGCTGGCAGCAAGCGCCGAGTCTTGCCTGGACAACCTTGTGGAAGGGGCATTCCAGGAGCGAGAGGTTTGAAGGGGCCCTGGGACACACAAATTAATACACGCAAGCCCCAGGATTCCCCACGTTTTCTTATATATATATATATATATATATATTTCTTTGTGCCCGTCTTCCCCCGCACTCCCAACATTTTCCTATACGTTCCTGGGAATCGATCAAGTGTGTGTGTATGTGTGTGCGTCCGTGCGTGCTTGCATGCGCGCGCGTGGGCGAGTGAGTGTGTGTCTGTGTGTCTGTGTGTCTGTGTTGTGTGTGTGTGTGTTGTGTTGTGTGTTGTGTGTTGTGTGTGTGTGTGCGTGTGCGTGTGCGTGTGCGTGTGTGTGTGTGTGTTTTCCCCTCCTGAAGGCTGTGGAGACGCCGAGTGGATGACGTCCCAGGCGGACTGGGGGTGCTGGGGCCGTGCGAAAAGAGGCCCGCCTGCTCCTGGGCTCAGGGCGGGCATGTCGCCCTACAGGCGGAGTTTGGGCGAAACATAAAAAATGGTCAAAACATGATCAGACTCTTTCAAAACATATTCGAACACTTTCAACATATTCCAAAAAGCAATCCAACAAATAGTCGAAAAATAGCCCAAGAAACATCAAGGACTAATCCAACAAATAATCACAAACTTTCCAAAACTAACACGACTATGTCTTAACTATTTTTGAACATTTCCCCTGTAGAGGGACACGCCCGACTTAATCCTGGGCGAGAGAGCCGGTGGGCCTGGAAGAGATGCATCAGGTGCCACGTCCGTGCCCCCAAGCATCCCAGAGCGATCCGAAAGCGCGCGGGAACGTTCTGGAACGAGTCGTACTGTGACGTGCAGTGGATTGGGCAGAGACCGACCGTCCCGGCATTCCTATAGGCCTACCACGAAATTTTCTTAGAACCCAGCAATGTTCTAATAACAAAAACAATGGTCTTAGAACGTAAGCCCGATGTGTTAAAGCAAGACGGTCGCAGCCAGAAATGTTCTAAGAATATTTCGTGCATATCACAAAGGGTTATTAGAACATTCTTTGGTGGGCCTATAGGCAAGCTGGGACGCTTCGCCACTGCTTGAGTGGAGGCCAGTCCACAAGAACCTGCCACAAGAAACCCAACCCCGAAACCCCAAGACGTCCATCGATTTTCGGTGTGGGGGCGTCGCGCTTTCCACAGCAAAACCATCGAGACCCAAGGAACCCAGGGCATCCTGGAGGCAAGCAGGGTGGTTCCTGGCATGGGTCTCCACCGTAGGCCTGCCGAAAAGATCCTCCCGAGCGAGGAGGCCGGCTGCGCAGGGCTCTGCGATTCCTGGCTCGCTGCCCATGCGACTTTGTCTGCCTCACACCGTGGAGCCCATGGGACAAGCACTTCATCCTGAATCGTTTTCTTTGCCGGTCCCGGGGCCTGGCAAGAGTCGTGGACGCCGAACAAACTAGCGACGCGAAGGGCTCCGCGATTCCTGGCTCACCGACCTCACCGTGAGCACCTCGTCGCTCTGGCCGAGCTCCGACGTCGTGAGGATCACCTTGGCACCCACATCCCAGTCGACGGGCTCCTCGCGCAAGGGGGGCAGGAGGGTTCGAGAAGGGGGGGGGGGGCGAGAACCGAGGTACGACGACGAGGGGCCTCGGAGGGGCCTCGGAGGAGAACGCGGAGGGCGAGGAGGAGGAGGAGGAGGAGGAGGAGGAGCACGACGACGACGACGTCGAGGGAGGAGGGTAAGCAGAGAGGAGGAGGAAGAAAAGGAGGACGACGAAGGAGGGCGGGGAGGGGTGAGGTGAAGAGGGGAGGAGGAGGAGGAGGACAAGGAGGAGGAGGACGAACGACCACGAGGGAAGAGGATGCGGGCAGGTTGCCCACATCATGCTGCGTGCTACTTCCATCTTGTGTGTGCATTGCGATGGCTTGTTTTTGACTTACCTTGGCCAGTTCTTGGTTGTTGCGTTGGTGTCCTGTTTGTCTTACCCCAGTGAGTCTTGCCTGCCCAAGCGCCTTGGGCAAGAGAGATAACCATTATCGGGGTCGCGCTGAGATCGTACTTTTTTTGGGGGGGGGCAGGTTGCATGGTAAAACTGCGGATGCTATAGAAAGGGCAACAGATGCGGAAACCAAAAGATACGAGGAAGTGCCAAGGTCCCCCGTCTTGTGGAACCGGACTGAACCGTCTGCCAAAGCTCGGAGGCCGAGGAAGGGTAAACACCCGCGCTGGAGGTCATAGAGCTCAACAAGATCCTGCAGGAGGAACGCGCGCACCAGTCGCAGATCTGGCACCTGTCTCGTCTGAACGCGGGGGGCGAAACAAAGTTGCCGTCCGCCCTCCCCATTTTCCCAAACGTGTCCTGGAGCGTGGCGTGACCAAGATTCCGAGGCAGATCTTAACCGTAACGACGAGGCGTCTCGAAACAAACCGACTATCGAACCCATCTTCGTGCAAGAGTTCTCGAGACAGGTCGATCTGTGCAGTTCCTAGAACTCGAAAAAACGAAAATGGCCGTAGCGAGTTCCCACCACGACTGGATCCAAAGTCAACTCGAATAGAAGGGACAAGTTGCCCTTCGTCCCCTCGAACACCCTGGCTCCTCCAGCTGCAGCACAGTGCTGCCCGCTGGCGCGGTTGCCACTAGCCTCGTCCACGAAGTCTGTGGGCGGCCGTGCAAGTCGAGCTTGCCGACAGACCTGGAGTAGAAAGCGCAGCTCTAGGTCATTTCTCCTCCCCACCTCCTTCGTTTGCTCCTTCACCTTGTCCACAATTCCTGCTAGCCGTGGGGATGCGAGGATGCCCAGTTCCTCCTCCTCCTCCTCCTCCTCCTCCTCCTCCTCCTCCTCCTCCTCCCCCTCCTCCTCTTCCTCCTCTGCGTCTTCCTCTCCCTCTTTCTCCTCCCTTCCATGATACTGTCCGCTGTTCTCCTCCTCCTGCTCCTCCTCTTCCTTTGCTTCTTCGTGATCTTCCTCCTCCTCCTCCTCGTTCACTTCCTCATTCCCTTCCTCGTCCTTCTCCCCCCACCTCACGCCTCATACTCCACGTCCTCCGCAAACTCCCCCGGCTCTCTTCTTTCTATGTCCCTGTCCGACGTGGATTCCGGCCCCCATGTGAACCAGTTCACATGACGGCATGTGGATCGTTGCTGTATTCGCTATTTCGTTCGTGCTCATTCGTTGCATCGTCTGGTATTCGGGTAAGGCGGTTATTCGTTTCTCCGCCGAGTGGTCTCTGTGCTCGTGCACCCCGTCATTCGGTATTCGCTGTGATTCCACCACTGGCTCAGGGAGCAATGCGAAGTCGAACAAGCACCCAATGAATGTCCGCATAGTCGCACCAAGCTTCCCGTCCACCTCCCAGAAAACGGGAATTGCGATACTGGCAAGCTCAACATACAGACCCGTCTAAATCTTCGTATGCACGCCAGCACTGGCAAGTTTTGATGTACAAGTTGTATTCGGGGGTCTTGAGAGGTGCGCTCTCGACCCGCGAATCAAAGATTATATTCGGGGTCCTGACGCTTCTGCCGATATCCTGGAAAACGTATGCGCCCAACGATCTGTGAGAGAAGCCTTGGATGCCCTAGTACGCATGTGTGATCACATGCACTGACGAAGAAATGTCGGCGGCATGCGCGTGTTACTACGGAAGCACCCGCAATCGCACGGGACTCAAGATCCGATGTAGTACTCATACGGACGCGTAGGCGACCACAAGGGCGAGGATGTCGGCATTGTCACGGTGTTGCGGCGTCCGCCTCAGTGTTTTTTGCACACGGTGCTACGGTGGCCGCCTCAGGTTACCAACGTGAGGTGGGGACCTCATAAGGAGGGATTCCCGCTCGAGACTTCCTCGCGATTTAATCACAAACGAGAGAGCGCCCGCGTCAACCGTGTCAATTGGCTTAGGAACGAAGCTCCCGCTCAAAACTTCCTCGCCATTCAGGCTTCTAGGTGTCACGGAACCTGTGCTTTCACGCGGAATTCCGATGGCCGCCCTGGCTTGCCCACGCAACGTGTGGGGACCCCATAGGACGGGGCCCCCACTCGAGACCTCCTCGCCATTCACTCACAGACAAGAGAACGCCCGAGATATCCTGTCAATTGGCTCAGGAACAAAACACCAAACGTGTGCTTGTACACGGTGTTCCGATGACCGCCTCTGACTAGCAACATGAGGTGGGGACCCCAAACGGGAAGGGATCCCGCTCGAGACTTCCTCGCGATTCACTCACAGACGAGTCTCCCGCTCCAGACTTCTTCAATATTAATGTGTGAGTGTATGAGTGGGTGCGCATGCGTGTGCGAGCGTGCGCATTGATGCTGATGATGATGACGGTGGTGATGACGCTGCTGATGATGATAATGATGATGATGATGATGATGATGATGATGATGATGATGATGATGATGATGACGATGCGGACAGTGATTATGATGACGATGGTGACGGTGATTGTGATGATGATGATGATGATGATGATGCTGATGATGCTGATGCTGATAATGATGATGACGTTGATTATGATTATGACGGTGATTTTGATGAGGATGGTCACGATGATCGTGATGATGGTAAGAATGATGATGATGATGAGGAGGAGGATGAGAAGGAGGAGGGTGATGGTGATGATCGGGACCTTCGTCGCCACGCGGTCCGCCAGGCCAGCCCGATGAGCCACGGCCGAGTGGCACGCGAATGCCCCGCGCGCATGCCCGCGCGGCTTCACGCGCCCGCCTGCCCGAGCCCACGGCCCACGCCGAGGCGATCCCGGCCAACACGGGCGAGGGAGAACTCACCGCCGTGCCGGCCCCTCGGCGTGCACGAGTCCTCGTGCCAGCGCTCCCGCGCAAACAGGCCGACGCGCGTCGTCGGTCTTGCAGCCCACTGGCGGGAAAGACGCTGCAGCGGTGCGCGCGGGGCGCAGCACGGACGGCCCCCGTGACAGCAGCAGGGGGGCGCTCTTTTTCCGCGGCTGCTGATGCAGCTCTGCGACGGGAAGGGGGGGGGGGAAAGAAGCGGCAGCAGAAAAGGGCGGCGTGCGCTGCTGGCGCTCGCTTGGAGGCTCGCCCTCGGAGCCGAAAGAACGCCTGCGCTGAGTCTCACATGAGGCCTGGCCGATGCGCACGCCCTTCACGACGCGCATGCCGACAACGAACCCCGACACCACGACGCCGTAGACGAAGATGCAGAGGAGGTGAACGACGCAGCCGCTGGACGCCCAAAAGGCAACAACCAACATCACCGCCGCAACCGCACCCCACCAAAGATGACGCTCCAGACGACGCTCCAGACGTGGAACTTCAGAGCGACAGCATGCCGCGCCAGCGTGGTAAGCCCGAGGAAGGTCGCCGCTGGCTCCTCGAAGAAGTGAGCGCCGAACGACCCCGCCATGCTCACGCCCGGCATGCGGCACAGGACGAGGTGGACGCCGTACCGCTGCAGCGCCGTGCCCACCTCGGCGGCCACGCCGAAGGCACCAGCAGGGCTGAGCCGCACGACAGGCGCCAGTGGACCACGCCCGACACCTCGCCGACGAACTCGCCAAGGGGAGACGCGATGGCGGCGGCGCCCGGGCCCATGATGCGGCCGCCCGCACGCACGGCACAGGCGCCACGACGCCAGCGCACGGCAGAAGGCCCAGACACTGCATCGGCCCAGCAGTACGGAGGAGGCCAGTCCACAAGAAACCTTCCACAGGAAGCCCAACCCTGACACCCCAGGGCGTCCCTCTGGTTCTTGGTGCTGGAAGGTCACGCTGCCATTCGCAAAACCATCGAAACCCAAGAAATCCAGGGCACCCTGGAGGCGAGCAGGGTGCTTCTTGGCCTGGGTCCCCCCCAGCAGCATCCGAACGCGACCCTGGGAGGCGTGCGACTATGCACCAACCTGTTCAGGGCGCTTTTTGTTGTTGGGCGCGTGGGACAAATCCGCGTCAGCGCAGTTGCCGACAGAGGCCGCGCATGCCACGCGCCCCGTCGGGGGCGCGCTTGTTTGGACGCCCGAAATGTGTAGGGAAAAAACGGGTACAATGCCCAACAACAAATGCTGTCCAAAACCAACAGCGGCCGCTGTTGGGCAGGCGGCCTTCTGTCTCGAATGGACACAAGCCGCGGCGGCGCGGACAGCGAGTCCGGCTCAAAATGAACAGGAACTGCTGTTGGCATTGTACCCATTCTTTCCGTGCCCATCTCGCTCGTGCAGAGCGCATGCCACGCGCCCCGTCGGCGGCGCCTTTGGGCAGGCGCGGGCAAGGCCGCAGCGGCCGGCGGCGCCGTCCTGGGCCGCCTGCCCGCCGACCGCGGCGGGGAAGGAGGCAGAGAGCGAGAGGGACCCGGCCGATGCGAACGAGTACGGGTACGAGTGCGAGTACGAGTACGGGCAGGGGGCGGACGAGCAGAGGGGCGCGCTTGGGCAGGCGCGGTCAAGGCCGCAGCGGCCCGGGCGCGTGCGTGCGCGCGTGCTCCCCGCAACCGCGGCCGCCCCGGCGCCCACGGGGCCGGCGGCAGCGAGGCCGGGCAGGGCAGGGCAGGGCCCCGCGCCGAGGGGCGGCCGCGGGCCGCGAGGGCGCCCGGCACGCGGCCTGCAGCAGGGCTGGGCCTGGACGTACACCGGGGCCTGGACCTGGACGTGCGCCATGGCTGGACCTGGACGTGCTCCTCCTCCTCCTCCTCCTCCTCCTCCTCCTCCTCCTCCTCCTCCTCCTCCTCCTCCTCCCTTTTCCTCCTCCTTCTCTTCCTCCCCACCTCGAACAGGTGCCCTCGCCTCCCTCGCCTGCACCAGGGCGGCCCTGCACCTTCGTTTCAGAGGAAAGAGAACTATGCACATACACCGATTCTGGCCAGGCCCATCCTGAGCCCAGGATCGGTGCATACGCCCTCCTGCCTTGGCCAGGAAAGCATATGCACCGATCCTGGGCCCAGGAGGGCCTGGCCAGAATCGGTGTATGTGCATGGTTCTGTTCGCCTGACGTTTTGTGTTCGTTTTGGCTTTTCCGTTCTGCTCTGCCTTTTTGTCCTGTGCCTCCCGGCCAAGACGAGTAACGGAACACAGCTGAAGTGTCCAGCAAAACAAGGTTCAGGTACACAGTCCTGGCCTGCACGAAGTCCGCCTTCGCCCAGACCTCCGCGACGGGCGACGCCACCAGCAGCGATCGCAAATACTCAAGTAGGAGGGGCTCAGCTGCAGAATCAATGTACTCCAGAATATTCATTCCCGTCGAATCTGCGAACAAAGTCGCGGAGTGCCCGGCGAATCTGCGGAACAATCTGCTTGTTTTTTTGCAGAATCGACGGGATACTCCATTTTGGGGCAGTCCAAGTCTGCTCGAAGTCCTGGAACCTGGGGGGGGCGAAAAAGGCCCGGGGCGGCCTTGCAGAAGGGAGGGGGGGACGGGAGAGGAGGAGGACGATGAGGAGGAGGAGGAGGAGGAGGAGGAGGAGGAGGACGACGGGAGAGGAGGAGGAGGAGGAGGAGGAGGAGGAGGAGGAGGAGGAGGAGGAGGAGGACAGGTCCTGCTCGAAGTGCGCGCCGCTGCGCACGGCGGATCGCCACGCGGCAGCGGCAGCGGGGGCAACAGCGCACTGCTGGCAGCACGGCGCGGCGAGGTGCTGGGGGGCAGGCGCGGCGGCACGAGCGAGGAGGCCACACTTGAGCCCGCCCGTATGATAATGATGACGCTGATGATGATGATGCTGATGATGAGGATGATGGTGGTGATGATGATGATGGTGGTGATGGTGATGATGATGATGAGGATGCTGACGGTAATGGTGATGAGGATGATGAGAAGGAGGAGGAGGAGGACGACGACCATAAGGAGGATGAGGAGGCGGCGGAGGAGGCGGAGGAGGAACACCAGGAGACATGATGATGGTTCAGGGCGAGGGCGAGGATGAGGATGTGACTGATGATGGTGAAAATGGTGATGACGGTGATGATTATGATGATGGCGATGTTGATGTTGATGCTGATGATGACGCTGATGATGATGATGATGCCGATGATGGTGACGATGGTGATGATAATGGCGATGACGATGCTGATGGCGATGCTGGCGATGATAATGACGATGGTGGTAGTGATGATGATGATGACGATGCTGCTGCTGATGATGATGCTAATGAATATAATGATCACGATGATGATGATGATGATGATGATGATGTCGATGATGATGATGACGATGATTTTCTCCTCTCCCAGGCTCTGAATCTGGCGTGTCTTTGAGCGTAAGTAGAAGTTCGTAGGCGTCGGTCTGGATGTCGGGGCTCTCGCAGGCGGCATGGTACGCAGCTTTCTGACATATGGCTTTCCATGACAGCGGAGGGAGCCCGAGGCTCCGACAGAGATGGCTGCAGAATACTCTCACGCCCAGCAAAGTATCTGGAGAGCGCTTCAAAGGAACCCATGACATTGGAAGCAGCGCACGGTTTTCGCAACAGCGCGTTGATGACCTTATCTTCCTGACTCAGACTAGCGGGCAGCAGACCCTCAAGAAACTCGAAAGACGCCGCTGAGGAACGCTCGGGGGCAACCTCGGCAGAGCTAGACGCGGCGAGTCTTGGAAAAACTGGGGCATCAGATGACATGCAACTGTGCGTACCTCCAGGGGTCTCGGACATCGCATCGTCGTCATCGCCGCCCTCTTCACGCGCCTTCTTGCGGGGCGGCGACCCGGAGGGAGGAGCGCCACCGCCACAAACCGGATCACGCACGAGGTCGCCAGGCCGACGATCAGGATGGACAGGCTCCGGAAGAGGAACATCTTCTCCACGACAGTCGGCACCATCACAAAGGTCAGCAGCAGCACGTTGGAGGCCGTCTCCACGACGGTAGTCGCCACGACGATCAGCACCAGCATGACGGTCTTCACCACAAAGGTCGGCTTCAGCACAGCACCTCCACGAAGATCGTCTCCAGGACGGCCGGCATCACCATCTCCACAACGGTCGGCACCAGCACGAAGGTCGTCTCCATGACGGTCGCCGCCACTGCGGCCGTCACCGCGAAGGCCGCCTCCACGAGTGCCATCACCACGAAGGTCATCTGCACGAAGGACGTCTTCGCGAAGATCGTCTTTACGAGGGTCGACTCCACGACGTTCGACGCCACAAAGGTCGGCACCACGTAGGTCAGCTCCACAAAGTTCGTCTCCACGACGGTCGTCTCCACGAGGGTCGGCACCAGCGCCACCATGACGGTCGTCTCCACGAGGAACGTCTCCACGGCGGTCGGCACCAGCACGAGGGTCGTCTCCACGAAGGTCGGCACCCGCACCTCCACGACTGTCATCTTCACAAAGGTCGTCTCCACAACGGTCGGCACCAGCACGGAGGTCGCGTCCACGACGGCCAGCTCCAGCACCGCCACAAAGATCTTCTCCACGACGGTCGGCACCAGCATCTCCAGGACGGTCGTCTCCACGAAAATCGTCTCCACGACGGTCGGCACCAGTACGAAGGTCTTCTCCACGAAGGTCGGCTCGAGCACCTCCGCGACCGTCAGCTCCTTCACCTCCGCGAAGATCTTCCAGATGATGGTCGGCGCCAGCACGACGGTCGTATCTACGACGGTCGGCTCCGGCACCTTCACAGGGATCAGCAGGCACCCGATCAGCATGATCGGCACCTTCAGGTAGACCGCCTCCGGAACGTGCATCAGGTTCTGCATATTGACCTCCACCTCCAGGAAGGTCGGCATCAGCGTCGCCACGAACGTGAGCACGTGGAGCACGCCGCATCGATATCGAGACATGGGATTCTCCAGATGACGAGCAGCGCCCGTGGTCCACAACAATGGCATCCTGAAGCGAGGTGAGCATGGACTGGATGAGTAAGGTCGCAAAACTATTGAGCATACCAACGTCCCAGTACGGCAGGAGAACGAAGTGGAATATGACCCTAGCACGATGCGAATTGAGTCGAGCTCGACCTTGGCGCCCTTGAGCGAGTTGATCCGCGATCCATCGCAGCCTCGCAGCACAGACAATCCGAGCGAAAAAAATAACAGAGGCTGAAACGGCGGGGGGCGCACGGGCGCCCGATGGCCCTCGACCGAGCACATGCTAGAGCCAAAATGGCTATGATGATGATGATGATGAGGAGGATGATGGTGAGGATGAGGATGATGAGGATGAGGAGGATGGTGATGATGAAAGGGAGGAGGAGGAGGAGAAGGAGAAGGTGAGTAGGAGGAGGAGGAGGAGGAAGACGACATGGAGGATAAGGTGGAGGAGGCGGAGGAGGAGCACGAGGAGGGAGGATGAGGGGAAGGACGAGGACGAGGATGATGATGATGCTGCTGATGATGCTGATAATAATCGTAATAGTAATAATACTAAGCATACTAATAATACTAATAATCGGAATCATGGAAATAAAACATGACTGATAATAATAATGTTGATGATGATGATAATGATGAGGATGCAACTGATGATTATGATGATGATGATGATGATGATGATAATGATGATGATGATGATGCTTACGATGATAATGACGGTGATAATGATGATTAGGATAAGGAGGATGAGGACGATGAGGATGATGCTGATGATGATGATGATGATGAAATGCAGGAGGAGGAGGAGGTGGAGCAAGAGGAGGACGACGAGGAGGATGAGGAGGCGGATGAGGCGGAGGAGGAGCACGAGGAGGGAGAATGAGGGCTAGGACGAGGACGAGGATGAGGATGAAACTGATGATGGTGATGATTATGATGACGACGATGCGGATGATGATGCCGATGATGGTGACGATGATGATGATGATGAAGATGATCATATAATGGCGATGCTGGTGATGATGATGACGATGGTGGTAGTGATGCTGATGAAGATGATGATGCTGCTGATGATGATGATACTGATGATGCTGATGATGATAATGATGATGCTGATGAGGATGATGATAACGATGATGAAAAGGAGGAGGAGAACGCGGAGGAGGAGGAGGAGGCGGGGGAGGAGCACCAGGAGGGAGGATGCGGGTTAGGACAAGGACGAGGACGAGGATGAGGATGATGAGGAAGAAACTGATGATGGTGATGATGATGGTGATGATGGTGATGGTGATGAGTATGTTGATTATTGTGATGATGAGAATGATGGTCATGATGATGATGATGCTGCTGATGATGATGCTGATGATGATGATGCCGATGATGGTGACGATGGTGATGATGATGAAGATTACTATGATGATGGCGATGCTGGTGATGATGATGACGATGGTGGTAGTGATGATGATAACGACGATGATGATGCTGCTGCTGATGTTGGTGATGATGATAATGAGGATAATGGTGATGCTGAGGAAGAGGATGCGAACGATGATGATGATCATGATGATGATGATGATGATGATGATGATGATGATGATGATGATGATGATGATGATGATGATGATGATGATGATGAAAGGGAGGAGGAGACGAGGAGGAGGATCAAGAGGAGGGAGGATGAGGAGGCGGAGCATGAGGAGGAGGAGGAGGAGGAGGCGGAGGAGGCGGAGGAGGCGGAGGAGGAGCACGAAGAGGGAGGATCAGGGTTCAGGACGAGGACGAGGATGAAACTGATGATTGTGATAACAATGATGATGCTGCTGCTGATGATGATGATGATGGAAATGATTATGATGATGATGCTGATGCTGATGCTGATGATGCTGCTGATGATGTCAACGATGGTGGCGATGGTGGCGATGGTGATGATGATGATGATGATGATGATGATGATGATGATGATGATGATGATGATGATGACTATGATGATGGCGATGCTGGTGTTGATGACGATGATGGTAGTGATGATGATGACGATGCTGATGATGCTGCTGATGATGACAATGATGATGATGATGATGATGATGATGATGATGATGATGATGATGATGATGATGATGCTGATGCTGATGACGAGGAGGATGATCAGTGAAGGAGGACGCGAGAGGAGAGGGGGTGAGAAGGTTTCTGCGCGGGGTGCCCAGGGAGAAAACAAGAACCCCGCCTAGGATGTGGAGAAACTAGCACTCTCCACCAGGCAGAATCCGCGCAGCGGAACTCCACGTCAGCCACGCACCCAGGGACAGTGAATGACCATTCGGCCTCCTCCCTTCGTGCAAGGACGAGTCGGTGCCATGAGGTCTCCCGACACCCGCACCCCTCGGGAGTTCAATGGAGAGAATCGTCCAGGACACCTGCTGAGATAGGGTTGCCCTGCTCCCGACGTCGCGCATAGCGCACAGCAACCTCTCGCTACACCAGGGGAGGAGACGAGGGTCAGAGGAAGGAGACGGAGGGACAAGCCGACGGAGGAAGGGAGGCGTGGGACGGGACGCACAGAGGCGTGGGGCGAGATGGATGCCTGACTCCGCAGACGTTGGACTCGGCCGTGAAGCCGGCGCTCGTGAGGCGATTTCCCTGCGTGGAGCATCCTGAGCCCGGGGAGCCGCAGAAGGATGATATGCGAGTGAATTGGGGGAAGACGGTGAGTCATAAAAGAGCCCCTCACCCTTTCGAAGGAGACCTCATTTAGGAGGGCCAGAAACATCAGGGATCGGGGGGCCTTTTTCTGCAGATGCATCTGACCAAACCACCCGCCAATTCTACCCCCAGTGAAAAGACGAGGACCCAAGTGAAGCCACGCCTTCACTGTGTTATTAGGGTTAGGGGCCCTTTTATTCTCGATGGGAGGGATTGGGCGCAGAAGACGAGGTGAGGAAGGATCGAGAGTTAGGTCGGGCATGTCCAGATTTTGGACGAAAGATCAAAAATACTCCAAACATACCCCCAACCAGTCAAATAGTCCAAATATATGAGAAGAGTCGTCCCCATACTGTTTTATGACTATGTTTGAAGATGCCTCCTGTAGAGGGACATGCCCGACTTAAATCGAGAGTCGAGAGGCCGCGCGCTCGACGGCCGCGTCAAAATTGGGGCGCTGCCGGGGGGGTCCCTGGCCATCGCTCGGACGTCCATTCCCTGTGCTTTTCTCGGTTTCGTGCGTGGCTTTTTCGCTAAATTATCAAGGATGCTCCTCGATGGTCCTCGCCGAAGGAAAGATGCACACGTCCGAGCAATGCCAAAGTCCACGGTGCGGCAAGGGCCACGGGCCACGGGCCTCCGGAGAAGAGCTCTTGCGGCCCCACTGCGCGCACTGGGCCTGCTCTCGGGGTGCAGGTGCACGGTTTTCCCTGGGGCCGTAGGCGACCCGAGGAGGGGAGGGCGAGGAGGGGGAGGGGGAGGGGGAGGAGGAGGAGGAGGAGGAGGAGGAGGAGGAGGAGGAGGAGGAGGAGGAGGAGGAGGAGGAGGAGGAGGAGGAGGAGGAGGAGGAGGGGGAGGGGGAGGAGGAGGCGGAGGAGGGGGAGGAGGAGAGGAGGAGTAGGAGGGAGGGAGGGAGGAGGAGGGGAGGAGGAGGAGGGAGGAGGAGGAGGAGAGGAGGAGAGGAGGAGGAGGGAGGAGAGGGGGAGGGAGGAGGAGGAGGAGGAGGAGGAGGAGGAGGAGGAGGAGAGGAGGAGGAGAGGAGGAGGAGGAGGAGGAGGGAGGGGGAGGGGGAGGGGAGGGGGAGGGGGAGGGGAGGAGGGGAGAGGGGGGAGGGAGGAGGAGAAGGTGGAGGAGGAGAAGGAGGAGGAGGAGGAGAAGGATGAGGAGGAGGAGGTGGAGGAGGAGGAGGACGGGCTGCCTAACCCCTTCGGAGAAACCCTCCAGGTGCAGGTGGGCCGCGGCAGCACGGTCGAGAGGGCAAGACGAGGCACATACAGTGGGGGCACGGCCACAAGAAACCTCCCACAAGAAACCCAACCCTGAGACCCCAGGACGTCCGACGACTTTTGGCGTGGGAGCGTCACGCCTTCCATCGCAAAAACCATCGAAATCCAAGAAACTCATGGCACCCTGAAGGCAAGCAAGGTGTTTCTATGGGCCTCCACTGTACCTGCGACCTCACAGACCGTCATCGAACGTTACCAGGCGCTCCTGAACCAGTGCCCCAGAGAGGTGGAACACGTTCCAGCGGACAACGACTCGTGGCGAAGCCACTGGTCAAATCGTCTGCCTACAAGCTGCTTCAAAATAATCGAAGTGGCATGGCGCAAGTACAAGCGACCTCATATAATATCATCGATGCCCTGAGAGATGACACACGAGTCTCAGCGGATACGGACTTGTTGCAAAGCAACCTGACAAATCGTCTTCCTACATCTTCACACTGCGTGTTCTGGGGTGCGGGTGAACCACTGCGAAATAATCGAGATGGCAAGACGAAACACATACCATCAACCAAAGAACGAAGCCACCAGCCACGTCATTCGCCCACACGTCATCTGAAAGGTGGCCGACCCGCTTGCATACGCACGTGGGCAGACCCACAGCGTGAATCATGCTGGATCGTGGTGCCACGAACCGCTGCCTGGCATGCCGCGGCGGCGGCCCCGGCGACACGCGCTGCCCTCCGAACAGATGGCGCGTCGCTCCGCCCCGCGGGACGGGAGGCCGAGAGACGAGCTCGGGACATTGACGCCTGGAGGCCGGAGCGCGGGCGGCGTGCCGCGCCGCAGCGCGGCGGGCCGGAGCAGAGGGGCGCGGCACGCCCAGCAGGCGCTCCTGGCCGCAGGCCCCGCAGGCCCCGGAGGGCCCCAGAGGGGGGGGTGGAGCCACGGAGGGGCACAGGCCGCGGGGCAGAGTGGCCTCGCCTGGGCCCGAGGGGGCCCCTGGGCCATGGAGGCTCCCGGGGAGGGGCGCCCCTGCACAACGCC